CCATGTTGACCAGGATGGTCTCGATCTCTTGACCTCGTGATCCACCCGCCTCGGCCTCCCAAAGTGCTGGGATTACAGGCTTGAGCCACCGCGCCCGGCCTCATTTTTGTTATTCTTAAAATACAGCTGTTACTGCAGTAATATCCATATTGGCAAAATGGTTACTCAGAAGTGTGTTCTCTGATTTTCCAACTGTTTGGTGTCAATTATTTTTCACTTTCAAAGACACATATTAGATTATGAGGCATATAAAATCTCTGCTTTATGAGCAAATTTATAAGGGGAAAACAATTACTTGAAAGGACAGAGAACTCTGATACAAATTTCCAACATGCATTTATTAATTCTACATTGATATACTGTCAAATTCAATGTCTATTTTTTGCTCATTTTAGCTATTATATAAAAAATGTTTAAAATCTCCTACCAGAATTGTAATTTCAGTTTCTTGTATTTCCTCAAGTTTTTCATATACACAAATTTTTGTTATACCTTAAGATTCATTATCATATCTCTACTACAGATTACATACTCTAAATAAGAACTGTCTTTATTTTATTTATTTATTAAATGTTTTTGTTGTTCATACTCAACCAATAAACAATTGCCCAACCTTTAAGCCAAGAATAAAATAATTGGAAAGTAGACAGTACATTTATTTTAGGTAACATAATATAAGGAACTAACTTGTTGACTGCTTAAATGCACCAACCCCCAAAATTGTAAAACTATTTACAGTAGTAAAATACTATAAAACAGCTACCTAGTCAAGGAAATGTTAACAGAACAACTTCAGACAAAGTTTTAAAATATTTAAGACATTCTAAATCTAAAAAATGCATAGTAACCATTTCCAGAAAACTTTTATTTGTGTTACCGTTAAGTGACAGGACAAACTGCTGAAAACTGACTTTAAAGTAGCAATGAATTACCTTTTTATGATTAGAAACCCGTCTAAGATTGTCCTCTTCAATATGAGGGAGCTGCAGAAGGGGAGACTTAAATTGCTGAAGTCCCTGAACAGCCATCTGAGAAAGCTTCATGCAGTTTTCTAGGGATGCCAAAGTTGGAGCACGAAACTCCCTTTCTTAGAAAGAATAGGAAAAAAGAAATAGGGCTAGACTTTTTACATGTTCAGGAGTATACAATTCATCACAAAAACGAAATTCACACTAAATCCTTAACACCTCAAATTTTAGGATAACTGTAAAGATTTTCCTTTAAAAGTTACCAGAGAAGACACTAAAAATAAGCCAACTTCATCAAATGAACATTTTCCAGCAACAAACATTAACAGAAAAATTATTTGCCTCACCTGAAATAATAGTAAATTATCATACATTATCAACATCACAAACATATGACACCATGACAAGAACCGACATCACTCATAACAACAAACCGTAACAACTACCCTCCTTTTCAAGGGTATTCCTTTCCATTACCGACCACAAATCCCCTCATTCTTTGCCTTCCATCCAAAAAAAAGGGCTTGGCACCTTTAGGCCTGTGGCTCACAACTGTAATCCCAGGGCTCTAGGAAGCTGAAGTGGGAAGATTGCTTAAAGCTAGGAGTTCGAGACCACATCAGTCTGGGCAACAAAGTGAGATCCCACCTGTAATGTAGCTGGGTGCTGTGGCATGCACCTGTAGTCCCAGCGACAGGAGAGCTAAAGCAGAAGGACTGCTTAAGCCCAGGAGTGTGAGCTATGATTACCCTACTGGACTCCAGCCCTGGAAGCCCTGTCTATAATTAATTAATTACTTATAAAAATTACATGACATGTGAATCGCTATCATATCAGTTAAATATTTCAAATTCACTATTAGAAAAAATAATGACCCAACTCAAAAATTATTCAAAGGAAAAGAAAGTTTTAAATCTTTGTAAACAGTTGAACAATAAAATAATTAATTTCAAAAACACGGGGACCAGCACTTTGGGAGGTACAGGCAGGTGAATCACGAGGTCAGGAAATCGAGACCATCCTGGCCAACATGGTGAAATCCCATCTCTCCTAAAAATACAAAAATCAGCCAGGTGTGGTGGTGCATGTCTATAGTCCCAGCTACTCAGGAGGCTGAGGCAGAAGAATTGCTTGAACCTGGGAGATGGAGGTTGTAGTAGGCCTAGATTGCATCACTGAGCCCTAGCCTGGGTGACAGAGCAAGACTCCATCTCAAAAAAAACAAAAACAAAAACAAAAACAAAAACAAAAAAACAGTGAGCTGTGATAAAGACTTTAAATAATAGAAAATATAGGAAAGAAATATGAAAAGCCAGGAGCAAAATTGAAAAAGCTCCCTGAACTGGTAGACAGAATTACACTGAGTACCCATAAATCCTAAAATATGAAGTATAATCTGTATATGCTTGCAAGAAAAAGTATAACATAATTAATCATATTTCCTCCTCACCTTCACGGCTCCGGGCCATTATTATTAGTTGGCAGATTACATTCACCATTTCTTGAAGTAGCGCAGGACACTTTTTTAGCATGAACTGCTGATCTACAAAACAATAAAAAATCTGAAACAAATCATTCTAATTTTACAGTTAAAGCATCTTTATCACTGTGGCCCAAAACTAATATTAAAGTTATGCCACAAATACTTCACATGAGCTCAGAATTTTACAGACTGAACGGAAGAGTTTCTCCTCAGTATTACTATGTCAAAAATCAGCCACAAAACCCTAGTTTAGATTAGATGTTTCAAAGGCAAATTTTTAATATCATGATGTTGTGCTTAATAAACTAACTCCCTATCTTTTTTTCCAAAACAGTTGTAATCTTTAATTTTAATCTTGCCATAATTAAAACCTTTAAGCACTTAACTTATTAAGTGCTTAAGTGCTTATTAGCTTTATTGTGCACTTAAGTTTCTGTAAGTATAAGACTTCTATAAGTCTTTGGACAGATAAGTCCAAAGACTGAGAATCAATGTCAACTAAATATAGAGGGAGAGATTAGAGAGGTAGAAGAGAAGAGGGCAACTTAGAGAAAGAGAGAGACTCTTTATACTGCATACAATAGTTAACTATTAAGAGCATCCACTGGATTTGGTACTCAACAATGATTTATTTTCTGCTTCTTACAAATAATAAGTAAAAATGGAGATGCTTATGTATCTGTACAGAATATTAGCAACAGAATTACTAGTTAATTTAATATTTCAAAGCAACTCCAGTGATAATGCCTAAATAGTGTTCCTTCATTCCACCGTTAAGTATCCTGTCCTATCACCAATTACTAAGCATCAAGTGGCCTTGTTTCCAGAGGCATTTGATTGCATTACTGGCTTAAAGGAGGTGAGGGATGGTAGGATACCGTTCAAAAATAACACATTTCCTAAAGATAATAACTTTCTTTTAAAACTTTAATTGAAATAATGTAGGTAAAACAGAGATAATAATTAAATTAATGACATCCTTGGAAACACTGTTATCTCAATCAACTACTTTTCTTTTAAGCAGAATGCATGGCTTCAAGTACTTATGAAGCTTTAAGTAACTATAAACCAGACATTATTGGTAAACTGCTGGAGGAAGCATGTAGATGGTGAAGTGTGGTAGTGGTTATGAAATCCATCTTATTCCCTCCAAAAACTTAGAAAGTCCTTTAAAATATCATTGGGAACTTTTGTATAATCTCCAATTAACTAAACATTTCTCATACAGAGCATTCTCTCATCTTGAACCACTAAATTTTAATACTTGTGAAAACGTCAGGCTTACTTAGATCTTCTAACCATTTATGAAATAATTATGTAGCATATACATTTCTTTTTAAAAAGGTTCTTGAGCAATTATTTGGCCAAAAAAGAACAGCAACAAAAAACACTGCATCACCATGCTATGGTTTGGGTCTGAGGCCCCACCCAAATCTCATGTTGAATTGTAATCCCCAATGCTGGAGATATAGGGCCTAGTCGGAGGTGACTGGACTGGGGGGGGGGTTGTGAGACGGGGGAAGGAGTTCTCCCTTTGGTGCTGCTCTCATGATCCAGTTCTCACAAGACCTGGTTGTTTAAAAATGTGTGGCACCTTCCCCAAAAACTCTCTCTTCTTCCTGTTCTGGCCATATGAAGAGGCTTGCTCTGGCTTTGCCTTCTGCCATGAATAAAAGTTCCCTGAGGCCTCCCCAGCCATGCTTCCTATATAGCCTGCAGAACCAGGAGCCAATTAAACCTCTTTTGTTTATAAATTACCCAGTCTCAGATATTTCTTTAGAGCAATGAGAGAACAAACTAATACACATCAGTAAGTCTAGTTAAATCTGCTGCTTTGTTCCCACTAAAACTCTGCAGATCCCAGAATCACAAATACCTTCTTCAAGGGTCTCAGGAATTTTCATTCTAGCAAGATGAGACAGTAAAAGAACTCTGGCCTTCAGGCTATACGGGCAGGTAAGTGGAGGCTCATTCTTCTTTAAATTAATGCTGCCGATTTCTCTGATTAGCTAGAATAAACAAAATAATTATTCAAAAACACTTTTTTTAAAAAAGTATTCACTTTAATACTTAACTGCTCATTGGTGGATTTGGGAAATTAGCCTAACCTGGGGTATTTGAATATTATCCGTTGGTCTGCTTGTGGCATCTTTATTATACTGGGGATCAAATTCAGAAGCTCCAGCCAAGACCATGAGAAGACCTAAGAAAACAAAAGAAATATGAAGGTAAATAAATTTGCTCATTTATTAATTCCCCCTCCTAGATACTTAATGCACTTGAAAGTGAAGCACTTTTCTAAACATGCACAATGCTAAAAATTATCTGAACCCCACTACTGACAAGTATTCACTTCGTCCCTAAAATAGTAACATCTTGCTTTTTAAAACGTATACTATATCAAACACCACAAGCGAATAGAAGTATACATCAAATAAAGCACACGAAAGCAATTGGAGGCATTAAAATCACTGAAAATAGCATCCAATCTCTATACCTCAGCCCATATTCCACAGAAACTTTCTGTAGAAATTAGTATTCTGTGTTATATTAATAACTTATGTGAAAAAGGGGGGACCTACGGTTAAAGCTGAAAATAAGGTAAACAAGAGTTAAAGGTTTCTTTATTACATGACTTCTCAAGGCCTTGTGTAAACTAATATGCATTGTAATTTCCCAAAAAAATTTATTATGGAACCTGAGATGATTTTGTGGAAATACACATGATTAAAACACAGAGGCCAGGCACAGTGGCTCACGCCTGTAATCCTAGCACTTTGGGAAGCCAAGGCAGGCAGATCATGAGGTCAGGAATTCGAGACCAGTCAGTTTGAGACCAGCCTGGCCAATATGATGAAACCCGGTCTCTACTAAAAATGCAAAAATTAGCCAGGCATAGTGGTACATGCCTGTAATCCCAGCTACCTGGGAGCCTGAAGCAGGAGAATCACTTGTACCCAGGAGGCAGAGGTTGCAGTGAGTTGAGATCGCACCATTGCACTCCAGCCTGGGAGATCACAGTGAAACTCTTGTCTCAGAAAAAAA